CGTGCTTTACTTGCACCTCGAAGTCCATAAGCCAACATAATAGCAAATGCACTGTGCAGCAAATGGTGTCATATGAAAACATGTGGACAATTCAAGTGGATATATCATCCAAGCAAATGTGATAGCCCATATATTGGAATTAATCACCGAATAACAACCATGGTCAAATAGATCTTCACCCATTACAATTGATTTAAATTGCATTCTTTAACATTCATGCATATGAACTATTCCAATTGTTACAACAAAGTGAGATGAAGTAATTCATATGTAATTTTTCATTTTCTAGTAAAGGAATTGGTCATGAAAGTTCACATAATTTCTTTCATAAAATTCTAACACTTTAGAATTTTCCCGTTCCTGTATACTTCAACAAAGAAATGGAAATTCAAACATTTTCAACAAATGCATTCTTCCAATATTATAATCCCATGTATGTGAACAATTCCCAAATGTCACAATGAAGTGAGACTAATCAATTTATTTCATTTCCACATGCAGTAACATTCATCAAAATGCAATAAGCCATACTTTGGAAAATCACATATTTTTCATCTAAATTGGTCATAGAATATTTCATAATATTCCATATATAAAATCAAATTTCTATAACAAAGCAAGATGCTTTATTCTAGGCCAAACATATCACGTAGAAAATTTATTATTATGCAGCTTAGCATCATGCAATTCCAAAAAACAATTAGTACTCTTCCAATGAAAGTACTTACCCATTTTGAAATACTTTGCAGCCTCCTTCTACCACTGCCCTTGTGGTTTTTCAATACATGAATAAATTCTCAAGAATATTTTACCTATCTGGTGACTAGATTAATTCCAAATAGATTTATGGCTTCAATGTCTTTAAGTTTTAGAATTTCTTTCACAGAATTCTAATACTGCTATCATGACCATATAACATCATGCAAACACAATTTTCACATTCGAAAATTAGTAACCAAGCATCAGGAGTCACCATTTAGTAATCTGAATCATATGCACTTGTCTAGAAAATATGCCAACTTGTATGATCACAGGTTGTGATCCTATCCCATCTTCATGAATCTTTTATTGGTTGATATTAATGCACCACACCCATTTTACTTACTTCCTATTATAATAAGTTAGCGATTGAGCAAGTTCCTCCACCGCCTACCACCGATCAGCCATGAATCTATCCATAATATCCCAAAGAAGCTTTACTAGGAACCGTACAATTGGGTTCCATTTATCCCTTCCATGGCTGGCAAGTGTTTTTGCGAGGTTTCGATTGGGAGAAGACAATCAGTAGAGATTCATTTAGACTATTCATGAAACATAGAGGATTTTATATAAAGGCCATTTTTCAGAATTTTATTACCAAAATATGCCAGTAAATTAACCCCAATAAACAAAATTGTCAACTTCACAAATGGTTTTAAATTGTAAAATTGAAAAGTCACCATTTAATCCATTTAAACCATATACACCTTTTCATGGTCCTTGACTGATTACAGGTAGCCACGCATGTTCGACCAAAAGCAGTACCATTCTCTGCCAGCTATTGAATTATGCCAACACGTATAAACTTACATGCATTTTTCTCCATTGGCGGCTGGTTGGTCAGATATTTAAACAAAGTTTAAGATGGTTTTTATCATAAAGGAACATGATTGTTGGCATTTCAGACCAAAGAAACATACGAATTTGGAGAGCAATTTCGACTTACACAAAATCTGGATTCAAGTTCTCCTACAAGTCGAGCCATCAAATAGTCTCCACGAACAAGATCTCAATCCATCAACTTGATTGTCGCCAAAGTGGTTTCATTCTCCATCGCCAAAATATAGTTTGAGATTGTTGGGAAATTTGCATCACCGAGGAAATTGGAGAAGAACCAATAACCAAAAAATCAAGAAGATAAAATGAAAAAGATGAAGAACATAATGAAATGAAGGCTCGAACGCGTAATCGCTGTCCTCAAACTATATTTGTCTCATCTCGAGATTGTTTGAGATGCTTAAAGATTTTGACAAACGGTTTTTAGGATTATATCAAGCCTTGTAAAAAATCTAGCGCTAAAGCATAAGCCCGATACTCTAAAATTTTAAGAACACGAGGAGCAATGCAGCAAAGTGGATTCATCCTCACTGCCAATGAAACCAACCATCAAAATCAGCTCATTTCACACAAAAATCTCTGATCTCTGACACGACAGCATTTGTAGAAAGAAAATGTGGGATTTGAACCAGGTTTCTTCACATGGGCGATGATTTTAAAGCTTTGCTCGAAAAATGACATACAGATTCTGAGTACGCTATAATTACTATTTAATATATACAACTAAACCCTATTGATAATAAATCTTCGTTCTTTCTAAATTTATCTTCAATCAGCCACCTGACTCATTATACCTTTATATGCGTAGTGAGTGGAATTGCATTGATTCATGGATCAGTTATAGATACAGAATGGTGTATGTATAAGTTAAAACTTCAATTTTGCAAATCCATTAAATGCAGTGGTAAGTGATAGTATGGAGTAGAGGGAGGGGCCGTAGGATAACTAGAGGGCACGGTGAGTGTATAAATGCATTTATTTATTTATTTATTTATTATTTATTTATTTTTTATGACGGGAACCATAGCCGTTACCCTTTGAGTATGCATTGAGTAAATTTTCGAGCTGATCCAATAGCCTGCAAATCACGTCAGCCAGGTAAATCATAATAGACAAGCCCGATTGGAGAGGCTCGACTAAGAAAGGGTTGGTATGGGGAATTGAATTCGTGACCAAAGGTTTTCGCACTCACATGCTCCACCAATTCGGCCATGCATTATTTACACATATTGAATGAGGATGTAGCTAACGTGCGTTGTGGGTGAAAACTGGGAACGTAGAGATTTATATTGTCAAAATTGTTGTAAATATAGTTAGTAAAATGACGGAATTGGAGTTGTTGGAGGGGACACGGCCCAAAAGGGGGTTTTTTTGTGAAAGTTTTCCGAGGGTATATTTTGGAAATATGTATCTTTATTTATTTTAGGAAGTTATTGTTCCATAATTTAGATAAGTGAGCACGAGATTTCGATTTGATTTCGAGTGTCGCTGTTTATTATTTCACTAAATATATCAGTGTAAGAGTAACAAATTTATTAATGAGCTTTGAATTTAATTGAACTTTAAAATTCGAAACATATTTGTGTAATCAATTAGATTAGATCATTGGATGGGTCGGCTTAGGTATTCCGACACCGGAAATCATTCATTATACTTTGAGTAATTCGTAAATAAAACTATTCGAGTGCTTATAAGTATTGAATCTAAACTCAAACCATCGATTTCAGTTCAAGTTCGATTCTATTCATAATATTGTTTTTATATACATTTAAACAATATTTTATATGTCATTTCAATACATATATCTAATACGTTATTTACTTGACAATATTTGTGTAAAAGAGAAAATCCAACTAAAAAAATTTCGAGAAGCAAAATAGTGAGAAAATTACAAAATAAAAATTTAAATGATATTTTGAGAAGAAATTATTTTTGCTTAATAATATTATTCGATCCACAAGTGAAGTATTCTAGAGCCTATAATTTAATTATGGATAATGATTAAATTTTTCTACTCTTAAGACGAATTGATATAAGAAATATTAATTGGATACATAACTATATAGTTTCAAGATATTGCAGTTCACATATTGAACTCACTTTTTTAAATAAAAAATGAAAAATTATATTTCAAAAGAAAACTACGAATTCAAAATAATAAAAAAGGTAAATCACAACTCAAACTATGAATTTATCAACTTCAATTTTCACGCGTTATATAAAAAATTAAGAACTATTTAAGTTTGTAAACAAGGCAAGAAAGTATAAAGCTCGAATTGAAAAGAGTGAAAGCTATGATTCAACTACACCACTATCTAGCTTGAATTTTTTTATTCATAGAAAGCCCAAACTGCATAGACTAACATATACTAACTTTGAAATGCAATAATCTGATCTGAGGCGAGAGGCAAAAAATTATGAGCTAGTCTTAAATTTTTAGGGTTGGTGTCTAAAATTTTGGACAAATTACTACCCAAAATAGGATTTTTAGATTTTTTTAACCTATCAAGTGCAATATTATCTAGTGTACCCCATGCTTCAATCATAGACACGATATTGATACTTGTATTTAAGAAAAAGTTTTTGTCTAATGAAGTGTACAATTGACAATGATGGATCCAAGAATCTTAATCAACTAAGGCGGTCATTGACCATTGACCCTCAACCGTCAACCGTTGCAATAGCAAGATCGCTTACGAAAGATGAGACAAAGGGAAAGAGGGATGACTACAAGAGGAAGAATATAAACTAAGAAGACATCCATTTTTCTCTAACAAGTTAGCTATTGAAGGCTTATTTTCATAAGAAAGTATGCCTTAAACAAGTGCACGAATAAGTATATATAAAATTTCTAGCATGAATTTTACAAATTTTGAGGAAGAATTTGAAAATTACATAAGACAAAAGGGGGAGTTTATTTATTATTATTATTATTATTTTTATGACGGGAAAATCCGTAGCCGCCACCTTTTGGGTGCACATTGGGTAAACTCTTGGACAATACTCAATTTACAGTACAAATTTAATTTTAATTATACTGTAAATTGAGTATTGACAAAATGTGATGCTTCAGTGCATGAGAATATGACTTTCTTGAGATTTCTTTGTTTTATTATTTCCAGTAGCTTTATATATTTCTTATTGAATGTAACCACACAATGGAATATACACATAACATTTCTCTCATAGTAAAGAAATCATTCCATAATCTGTTAACAAACCTCAAATCACAGAGAATTATTACAATTTAAATAAATCACGGATTCTAAAATTATCGCAAAACACACATGGTTGGGTGCAATTTTCACTATTTTTTATTAATGAAAAAATATTTGCAAAGCCCAATTAAAAGGCAGGCCTATCAAACGATAGCCCGTGTCTGTTTAGTCATATTGCAAGATCAAAGAGGGAAGCGCGGCCTACTCTTTCTCGGTACCTTTTTACACTAAAAACAGGAACATATAAATCACCCCCTCGGCACCAATCTGTCTTGTGTTGCAGTGATTTCTAATCAACTTCTTCATCATCAAACTTGGAAGGTAGTAATATCGGTTTTTACTAGTGTTAAAACGGGTCTCGATTTGTTTGTTGAGAATGATTTAATTTGAGTTCACTCCTTATAATTTTTTTTTCTGTTTTTTTCTGTTTTCAGAATTGTTATTTCTTGATGGTAATCTTCGTCTAGCAAAAGTGATTTTTTCAACAATATTCTCTTGAATTTTTGGTGCGGTTGCTTATAGTTTTCCCTTGCCTTGAAAACTTGCTGCCCCTCTAGTGTAATAGGTGAAATACACAGACCCCAGGTGGCTCTGCCCCTGCCAGCCCTATGAACCACAGGTAAATGCAATTTTTATTTTCTTAACTTGTTGTGTATATGTAATATGTAGGTTAATGTACAAATCTGGGCTTAACAAGATATGTGAATTCTTGAGTAACCAATTGCTCTTTTTCCTCTTTTAGATGTTTGGCTAAGCTTAAAAAATTTACTTGTACAAGTAAAACCTCAAGTTTCAATTTTCATTGGTGAAAGTTAGAAATAAGTTACATTTGGAGTTTTGAAAAGTAACTTTTGTAATTAAAAATTAAAAAAATTCAAGGGATAAAATGTTACTTAAAAGTGTCACATGCTCAAATCCTTACATATTGCCCTATTTCAAGATTTTTAATTTTTTCCATATCTCTGTGATGATTGGTTTCAATGCTAGTTACCTCATTCTCAATTTTAATTCACTTGTAGATCTCTTTATCTGTTTTAATTAGTGTGTATTTGTTTTTACTGTTTTAAGGATAATTAAGAATGCTCCGGAAGTTGAAGGATTTCTATTCTATTTGGCAACTGAGAACTCCATTGCGTTTGAGTACTTTTAGACAAGACTATTTTAACAACAGCGGAGTCAATGTTTTTTTGTTCAATGGATGTTGCACAATGGTGGATACTATTAGAGGTGATGGCTCGTCCTTTATTTCTGAGTCGGCTGCGCTTCCAGATTGGGTGAAATTTTTTGATGAGGACACAGTTGTTAGCAAATCGCGGGATGATGACTTTGTGCCTCCTTCAATATCATATTGGATTGAGAATCCTGAAGTTCGTGATCAAGAAACTGATATAAAAAGCATAGTAAATGATATAGTTGAAAGTGATGTTGATAAGATCAGTAAGGTTCTAAAGAATCAGTTTAAATCCCCTGATGAGGTTATGGAGAAATTAAATTGCTGTGATTTTAACATATCAAAGGGATTGGTTGAGCAAATATTGACGAGATTCAGCTTTGAGTGGATACCAGCTTTCGGGTTATTTAAGTGGGCTGAATTACGGGGAGGAATCACACATTCGCCAGATTTGTATAACTTGATGGTTGACAACTTGGGAAAAACTAAGAAGTTTAATCTCATGTGGGAATTAGTGGGAGAAATGAACAAATTGGAAGGGTACGTTACATTGGATACAATGACTAAAGTCATGAGACGTCTTGCAAAGGCTGGTAAACATGAGGATGCAATAGAGGCGTTTAGAAAAATGGAACTATTTGGAGTAGACAAAGACGTAATGGCAATGAATATATTGATCGATGCCCTGGTCAAGCAAGGAAGTGTTGAACATGCAGAAAATGTCCTTTCGGAGTTCAGGGATCATATACCTCCGACTTTACAGACTTGGAATGTGTTAGTGCATGGTTGGTGCAAAGCTAGGCAGATTAGTAAAGCTAAGAAGACCATTGATGTGATGAAAACACAAGGATTTTCCCCTGATACGATTACTTACACCAATTTCATTGAAGCCTATTGTCGTGAAAAAGATTTTCGCAAAGTTGATGCTACTTTAGAGGAAATGCAGAGGAATGGGTGTCGTCCAAGTGTAGTGACATACACTATCATAATGAATGCTTTGAGTAAGGCGAAGGAAATAAATAAAGCCTTGGAGATTTATGAGAAGATGAAGCAGCAAGGTTGTTCTCCAGATGCTTCGTTTTATAGTTGCTTTATTGTTTCGCTAAGCAAAGCTGGAAGGCTAAAGGATTCTTACGATGTGTTTAAGGATATGTCAACGCAGGGCATTGCTCCAGATGTGTTGACTTATAACACTCTAATTACTATTGCGTCCCAGCACTTGCATGAAGAGAGAGCACTTAAGTTACTCAAAAAAATGGAAGAGAGTCGGTGCAAGCCTGATCTTAATACGTATGCACCTCTATTGAAAATGTGCTGTAGACAGAAAAGAATGAAGATACTATCCTTTCTATTGAGCCACATGTTCAAGAACGATGTCAGCGTTGATCTTGGTACGTATTCTCTTTTGGTTCGCGGACTAAGTAGGAATGGGAAGCTGGAAAATGCTTGCTCCTATTTTGAGGAATCAGTTCTGAAAGGATTTGTACCAATGGATTGTATGTATAAGAATCTGGTGGAAGAACTCGAGAAGAGGGGCATGCTTAAGGAGAAGGAGCGAATTGAAGAATTAATGTTACAAGCTAAACGCCAAGGATATGGTGATGATAATCCATAAACTAGCTTGTAGTCTCTTCAGGGTGGATCTCTTCGCTCTTGATTGTTCATTAGTGTACACTATTTTCAACATTTGAAACTTTCATTTTAATTTGGCATTTGCCCTCTCAGATCAACTTTACATTGCGTAAAACATCTTCACCGTCTAATTTTTTCCATCAAATAGGTTCGTCTAATAGGTGCGTACGCTTCAAATGACACATTTGGTAAGAGTTATTTTTGGTCCAACCATTGTATTGAGTCCTTAACTCCAATATGATATAATTAAATTTATATACATGTAGCTGTAGCCTATGCTTAGTATATTTTTATAAAGAATAATGTCTAGTATCTGTGGTGCTAGAACACCAGTTTAAGTGTAATCATAAGGTGGAACCATATGATTCATTTAATTATTCTTATCATTTTAATGATATTTAGCACCTTCTAAATTGATGTTTTAACATCAATGATTTTAATCAACATGACTATTTTGTTAAAGTAGTGGATTTTATAAAATGTGTGATTGAAAATAAGTTTGAAGAAAAATGAATTTAAAAAATAAGGGCCAAATAGGGGTTAAGTAAACATCTTTCCCATAATCTGTACACACCCTCGAACCACTGCCGGCAGCCTACTATCATCACCAGCCACTAGCCCCGTTTGGTCACAATGTCTCTTAACCCCATTAAGCACAAACAAAAACCTGAACAATGGTCATAGGTTTGGAAGTTTCACATATCCATTACAAACTACTCTTTAGTTTGTAGAAGAAAGGGTTTTTAAGGTGAGAAGGTAAAAAAAGAAAAGAAAGGTCAAGCGTCAAATTGACGTTGCAAGATGGGTTGAGAGAGCAGAAGTTCAGCTTAGAAATTTGATGCTCATGAAGAGTGGGATGTCATTATCGAGTCAAATTCGACTTCGATATAATATCGGAGTATTTGAAAACGAATTTAGAGTGGGATCTCGTTTCCTTTCGAATACACATGCCAATGGTTCAATTTTAATGCTATTAACTAGGTCACTTTGGTTTCCCTTTACAATTTTCAGCAATTTAAAAGTTGCATGTGATGTATTTGGAGATTGGGTGCAGCAATATATCCAAGAGTACCTTATGAAAATAATAATAATAGTAAAACAAAGGGAAAAAATGAATGGAAAAAAAAAAAAGGTTAAATGCAAATGATCTCCAACAGAATTGTGCAAGGCAATTCTAACAAAAATCAATATATGTCATCGATTCAAATATATGAACAACAACATTTTCACAAGTTATCACGTCCTCAACTCTATCAACTATTCGTCGGTTCATCCATTGAATCGGCCCTCTAAGCAACAATTTTTCAAAGCCAAAATAAAGATTCATTTATTTCAATAATTGAATTAGATCATTTTGGGTTGTAGCCATTCTTAAGATCGCTTTATGTAATATTCGCTTCACAAACCATTCTTAAAGCACCACATGTAGTCATAATTGAAATTGAATGTTGTTATGATAGACATTTGATGCTATAAAATGACTAGTTAATTTTTTTTATTTTTTTTTCAAATTCACTTCTCCTCTTAAAAAAACTTATAATTTTATTATTATTATTATTATTATTATTATTATTATTATTATTATTATTATTATTATTATTTTCACATGTTTTAAAATGTAAACCCTCCAAACAGCCATAACCGAAACCTTGCATTTCCATTTGTAACACAAGCATATCTTCACAGCCCCCTTTTCTACCCCAATTTCTAGGGTTTTCACAAGTCATACACCAAAAAAAGAAAAAATTCCAACAAAAAAATGTCCGCTTTTATATATTCACTTGGACCAAATACAGTTTTATCTCCATTTCCGGACAGAACCAGAACTCTGAATCCAGTTTTACACAGAACCTATTTCAGTAATTTCCCAATTCATAGACCCTTTTTGAAGAGGAGTCTTGGGGTGACACGATTTGGATTGGGTCAGTCTCAGTTTCCTGACCCGGATGGTGCTGGGGAAGTAATTAAGGACCTGTTTGGTAGAGTTGAGGGGTTCCTTTATACTGTTGCTGATGCCGCAGTTTCGAGTTCTTCAGATACAGTTAATACTGTTACTACTACGCAGAATAATGATTGGCTTTCTGGGATTACCAATGGCATGNCAGTTTCGAGTTCTTCAGATACAGTTAATACTGTTACTACTACGCAGAATAATGATTGGCTTTCTGGGATTACCAATGGCATGGAGACAGTTTTGAAGGTCTGTATAAGTTTCGATTTTTATTACGTATCGAAAATGGAAAAGAGTAATGGAAAGTTATCGATTTATTGATTTTTTATGCGTTTTTTATTTATTTTATTTTTTATATTTGAATAGTGGAATTGATGGTTTTGAGGAAAAAACAGCTGGTGAAAATGAGTTTTAAATCTAAAGTTATAATAGAAGATGAATATTTGTGGAAGTTTTTATATTATTGATACTTGTCTGTAGAAGATGGATGTTTATGCAACTTTCGAATTTATTGATACTTAGAAGATGGATACTCATGCAACTTTCCATATTATTGATACTTGTTTGAACTTCTGTTCATTATCATTAGTGACCGGTAATCTGATAATATCAGGTATATGTGTGTGTGCACATGTATTGCTATGGATTGTGAAATGATTGAGAGAGCATATTTATACGGATTGAGTTTCAGAAGCTAAGTACACTAAAATTGTAAAACTAGAATTAAACTTGTTTAATTCTAATTTTAAGACTGTGTATATTGGAAACAAATATGTCCTCAATAAACACTTGATGACATTACCAGAGACTTACTATTTTCATTGAAGCTTCAACATTTTAAAGTTGGACTGACAAATTTAATTGTTTCATTCTGATATTATCTAGAATATTTTCAATAAAAAATAAGCTACTGAACTCTAGCCAACAAGATAGATGGATCCACTGATTTAAAGGTAAACCAAGTGAGATGAATTTAATGAAAATGATTGTTGGAATGATGAAGGTGTAGCGCAGCCTGCTCATACACTCACTAATGTAGCTCATTTTTCACGTGAGCATGTCCATCATGACCAATCAGTATTAAATATTTTTCTCTTTTGATTTTTGAAATGGTATTGCCCTGGTATTCATTTTTTTACTCTCTACAACTGAGACTAGATGTAGCAATCCTATTCACCGAGCTCAGGTGTATTATGTGATTAAGTTGATATTGGGAGAGCTGAATCCTGGGGTGGTATTGGGGGTGGAAAGGGTTGCTTAAAGACATAACAGACTTAAAGGGCCAAAATGGAGATACTAGTTGAGATATATAGATTAAGCCCTCATTTGACACATTCACACAATAAATATTCTACACATAAACCCAAAATTTTTTCCTATTTTTTAACCACACATTCTCCTAAAAATCACTATTTTAAAATCTATTAATCCCAAAAATGGGGCTCAAACAAGGGCTAAAGCTTTATACCTAAAGATGTTTCTGATGGAGATCCTAATATGTGTAATAATAGAGTTTTACTAAGTTTAGATTAGTTTGTTTTAGTTTATTGTAAATTTCTAGTTTGACTTAAATTAGGTTTTGTGTGTATAGTTAGTTTCCTACTTAGATTAAGTTAGTTTAATCTCTATTTAAAGAGGATCTATACATTGTAATAATTAGACTTGATTATTGAATAAACTCATATTTCCTCCTCTAATAATCCTCTCTTCTCTTAATTTTTTCTCAAGTCTCATAAATTGCTGGTTGTGAATCTTCATTTATGAGCTTCCTATGTTTGTTTCATCAAGAAAAAGGAACTCCCTTCAGTCCTGCTAGTGGCTCCACCCCTAGCTCTTATTAAGCCCTTGTTTGGTGGAGATTAAAATCAAATTTTTAGTAGATATTGATAAAAGTTTATTAAATGTGTGGCTTAAAAGTTGTGGGCCCAATGAAACATGTTACTAAAATTAATTGTTGACTTTGATTTGGATTAAAATACTGCCAAATAGGTGCTAAATTTACTATGATATTATTAGTTCACGGGAAACGTTTCAAGCTGTTGAAAGAATAATGGCAAGTCCATGGAGATATTTTCCAATGGGATTTTTAGTCCTAAACTTGATTCAATCCTTAGTTTCATTTATTTAAATGTGATTCCAGGCAAATCACTTCAAGTAAATGTTTTATACGTGTTACTGGTTTCTCGGGGCTCAATAAAATGTGTGCTGTTTCTCAGGTTTTGAAGGATGGACTCTCTACTCTACATGTTCCTTATGCTTATGGTTTCGCGATTATTTTGCTGACAGTACTAGTGAAGGCTGCCACATTTCCTTTGACAAAGAAACAGGTTATTTCCTACTGGTAGTAGCAAAGTTTTTCAGTAATCCTATTTGTGCTTATTTTCCACTGTCTTGTTATTTTAATGGCCAAGTATTTCATTGAGAGCAAAATCTTCTGTAAGTCTGCATGGCTCTATATTTCCAAGCTATTTCCAAGCTTCTAGACAAGTGTAAGCATTAGTTAAGTCCGTCATTTTATCACTTTCAGGTGGAATCGGCATTGGCAATGCAATCTTTGACACCTCAGATAAAGGCTATTCAGGAACGATATGCAGGAGATCAGGTTACTCCTTGTCCTTTTGTGAATATTGCTTTCTTACTTGAATAAATCTGGGCAATCAAGGCTCGTAGTTTAATAGGGAGGGAGGACTAGTTGACCTGAGTTGTTCTTCTGGAAATAAAGGATGCTTGGTCTGGGAATTTGTAAAGCTGGAACATTTTTACACGAAACCTATCTGCTGATAGTTAATTGGATTGACTATTTGGGCAATTTCATTATAGTTGTTTGGCTTTAAATTGTCAATTAAATTGGAAGGCATGTACTCCTTTGCCCAATACATTAGAAAGATATTTGGATTTAGAGTATGTCAATAGATTCATGTTTTGCATTCCCACACTTTGTTTCTTATGCGAGCATGTGTTTGCAGGAGAGAATTCAACTCGAAACGGCTCGATTATATAAGCTAGCTGGCATAAATCCACTAGCAGGTACTAGTCTCTACACCAGTCCCTCACCACCACCACCCATTAAAAATAAGTGAACAATGTCCAAAAGGAAGAGAAAATTGTATGTTTCATTTTATGGTGGCACCTATATTCATTTGCACTTCTTGGCCCTGTTTGGGAGTGATTTTTTAGCCCCCAAAATTTGAATTTTTAGACCGTTGTTTCACTATTTCAGCCATAAATTTTAACTTTTTCTCTCATAGGTGACCTCTACTTTTCTCCTAACGGTAGGAAAATCAATTCTCAAAATCACTTTCAAACGGGGCCCTAATGGAAGTTAGTTAATTGTCGTTTGTTAATGTAGAGTCCCTTGTGGTTTGGATCATCTTTCTGTGGTTATGATTTTGCTCCTGTTTGTTTTTGTTTGTACCAGGATGTCTTCCCACACTTGCCACAATTCCAATATGGATTGGGCTTTACAGAGCTCTTTCAAATGTGGCAGATGAGGTAAAATCTCAGCTCATTCTCCTTCCATTCCTCCTTTTTCAAGTTTTTTTGTTTTTTGTTTTTTCCTTTCTCCCTCTCATCTCATTGGGTCTCTTGTTTTTTTAATGATCAAGGGACTGTTGACAGAAGGCTTCTTCTGGATACCATCACTGTCTGGTCCAACAACGGTTGCAGCTCGACAAACTGGCAGTGGTACCACGTGGCTTTTTCCATTCATTGTGAGACCCTTGTCATCCTTGCCTTCTTTTTCAGTAATGTATCACTTGTGAGGTCTATTTACTGTAAATTGGTGTCATTTTTTTGACTGATATGGCTATTTTGTACATATATATGTGTGTGTATGTATGTATGTATGTATATTATTTTGAGTTATTTCATGTATTCCATCTCACTTTCTAGGGAGACATTACTAGTACATAATCTACTAGTGAGGTCTTGGACTAGTAACACTGCAGTTTTCTTTTCAAATACTACTTTGTAAAATCAATAATTGCATGTTTTTGGTTATTTATCTGGTTCATCTTTCAACCTTGGTTTTTATATTGAAAATGATACCGTACTGATCCGCAACTTGGTCTTTATTTTTACATAGGATGGTCATCCTCCCCTTGGATGGTCAGATACTTTGGCATATCTTGTATTGCCTACACTACTGATTATCACTCAGTACATTTCTATTCAGATCATGCAACCATCACAGGTTTGTCAAGTTAAAACTGTATGATCTGCTCATTATTTATTTATTAGGAAATGAAAGACTGCATTTGCTTTTGCTATTCCTATTAGATGGTGACACTTTAAGAAATCTTCTCTTGCTTTTGGACTTCTATGCTTAGCTTGATCGTTAAATTTATATTGGCCGTCTTCTATAAGCAACATCACCTCTTGCTGGACAGTTGCTTCAACAATTATTACAAGCAAAGTACTGTTAGTGTATATATTTTATTATTAATTTATTTGTAAGTTATGATTTCTTTTCTTTATTTTGATAACTTTCAGAGCAATGATCCGAGCCTAAAGAGTTCTCAAGCCATAACCAAATTGCTACCTTTGATGATTGGTTATTTTGCTTTATCGGTTCCTTCCGGTCTGAGCCTTTACTGGTAAACAGCTCTGAAAATTTTGCATTCAGTTACTTTTATGATATCTTTTATACTTTTGTTCTCCTGATTAGTTTTAAATATCAGTTCCATTATTCTTCATTTGACCTCTTTACTCTTTATTTATCCATTTAAATTTTTTTCTATTTGTTTTTCTTTTCTACTTTTTTCCTTGCTCTGGTTGGGGTGAGCAGTTGTAGCTCTCTAATAGTAGATGACTGTTTGCATGCTTTTCATGCAGGCTTACAAACAACATACTCAGTACAGGTCAACAAGTATGGCTGCGGAAATTGGGTGGTGCAAAAAATACAGTCGGGCAATTGAGCAATGACATTATTAAGAAAGAGCAATCGCAAGTTCTAAAGTCTATCTCTGAAGCACCTGCAGCCAAAAAGGTCACTAAAGAAGAAGAAAAATTGACTTCGGAAGGAATTCGTCCGGGTGAAAGGTTGAAGTTTAGCAATTTATTGAATTATCATAGCTTATGTTTGGCATGATTATATATTCTTCCGGTCTTGTATACCTTTCCAGGTTTAAACAGCTGAAGGAGCAAGAAGCACAAAGAAGACGGCAAAGAGAAGAAGAGAAAAAGGAAAATGAGGAGGTGGCAGCTAAAGGAATTCAAATAACAAATGAGGAGGTTAAGAAAGAAGTCAATGTACTTGAGAAGGAAGATAGAACTCATGCTGAGTTACTTGATGCTGATTCTGTGACCAGTGTTAGCAGTTCATCGACTGTTGATGGCTTTGTTATGAATGGTAATAATACTAATTCAGAATTGAAGGATGACCAAAAGACATCTGCTTGTACAGAAGAAAATGCTGAAACTTTTGAGGATCAGGAGAATAGAAACAATCGCCATCTCTATGAGAAGGTGGAGAAGGTAATCCTCGTTCCTTAAATTGTGGCTCTGCATCTTTTTTATAGTTTTTTCTTTATATCATGGATTGCATGGTATTGTGGCATGGAGGGGTTCTTTTTATTCTCTTAATCTATATGAATGAAATAGCTTTTATAAAAGATACTGACTAGCTATTTGAAGAAAGTTCTCAGATTTTTAATGCTCTGACCAGTAATGTCAGAGATGCAAAACTATTTATTAAATGTTATTCCTTGTAGACTATAGTGGAAATGGAACTTTCTTTTCACTTAGTTGCTTTCTTTGTTGTGAAGATAAAGCACGCTGGAATTACTAGTAATTACAATTGATAAATTGTGTATAAAGTTTTCTGATTTTGCAGTATGGTATTACCCCGACACTGACTTATATTAAAGTAAAAGCAGTTAAGGTTGTAAGTTATCTAAACATCAAAAATTCATAATAACTTCTTTCATACCGTGAAATGGAAATTACATATAACATCTTAGGCATACCAGGTAAAATTTATTACATGAGGTTAAAATTACAAGACTTACTATTATTCTAACTTGGGGTAGCCTTGATGAGTTTTACGAGTAGAACTACAATATCAACCTAGAATTCGCCCCATATTCCTCAAATTTGAATTTTGCCCCAAACTCGAATTTCTCGAGCATCCATACTTTTACTAGTTTTTTCTAATCTATGCGCAAATATTTGTTAAATATCATGAAAAATAAAATGATATTTGAATCCAAAATTTGGTGCCAAAAACTGTCTGAAAATTCATCAAGTGAGCCAAAATATAGGAATTTTTTGTGGAATCCTGAATTCATCAAGTTGATACTTCTAATGGCTTCCATAACAATATGGAACATGTTTCAATAAAATTTGATCAAAATAGTCTGTAGAATGATGGGATAGTGATGCAAGAGCATGGTAATTTGACAACGAACAAGAAAAGGAACCAAAAAAGAAAGGGGACCAAAGAGAAGGAAGAATTTATGGCGAGAGAAATCAATTTATTCATATATTCAAGGGTACATATTACAATGAATAAGCCCTCTATATATAGAACAACTAATCTAAATCAAAATAATTTCTATTAAGCTATGACTTTATTAAACTATCAAATCTAATCTAAACATTCATAATTGGAATCAATCTCTACTTTTAACATAATATCAGAATCCCATCTTTATTCTATCTCTGTCAGATAGTGAAACCTGAAAATTGGACACACTTAAAATTGATGAGCAAAATTCATTTGGCTTTTGAATTACTTATAAAGGTGGAAAAATGAGGGAGAATCATTCTAGTCAGGTTTTGGTCTGAAAATCCGTCGGAGAGAGGATACCTGCCACTCTGGTTATCAAATGCTGAAACTGACAGCCCACTTTGATTCGTTTCGTTAAAATGACTCCTTGAAAGGTTAGGCTTGTCAAAAAGTTCAATTGTCAGAAAATGGCAACAGGTTCGAGGATTTTATATCACATAGCAAAATTTTGTTTGACTAATCATTCATATATTATTTCATATAATATCTGTACATTACACAATGCACATACAGGAATACTGATTGAGTTGGGCAGCCTCTCCCATAATTTATCCCTTTCCGGTAAATGTAGAGAAGCTCTAATGAAGAGGGTTACTAGCTAGAGATTTAGACTTCGACTGTAGCTTTGCTTAACCAAGACAACATGGAGTTCAAATAAGTTAGAACATTAATAATTGTTGGTATTTCCTTTGTAACAAGTTTTTAGTGGTCAGCCTTAGACGTTTGACGGAATCATTTCATGGTATAAGCGAGGTGTTATTTTGGAATTTTCACATAGAACTGTGTTAAAAAATGTTGAGATATTTAGATAGCACACAATTTTATTTGGCTTTTGTTTACTCTTCCTCGGAAAGTTTTTCCGTGTTCTTGGGTGGGGGTCGGGTTGAGATGGCACAACTGCTAGTAAAGGTGGATAGATTGATGTTTTCAGCCGTGCTTTAAATCATCTGAAATATCATGAAACAAATATTTTAACTTCTCGTTGACTTTGCTGAGATTGTTTAGGTAGAACGTTATTGACGACTCCCTAGGAAGACAGCCTTATTGCTTGGAGATAAAGCTAGAGCAAAATAATGGATATTGGAAATTCATGTTTGGAAGAATTCAAAAAAGTACCAGTGAATGCCATGACGTAGTCTCCGATAAGAGTGTTGTGTGTGTGTGCCAACCTAAGAAGAAGATTCCATGATTTGATTTGGTTTTTGGCTATTAAGTACCGGACATTATTTCTTTTCCATTGTGGGCATCCTCAATTTTTCATTAAATGCTGGAAAAACATGTTTAGTTTGCATACATCTCACAATATTTAGATTACGAGAATTGATTCAGTAGATGTGGTCTGAGTGACCTCTCTCTTCTTGAACCCAGATTTTTTATGAACCTTTTAACAATGAGTAGCTGGCTCCTAAATTTTTTGAAGGACTTCACAAATCTATATCTCTGTTTAGTTTCTCTAATTATGTCGTCCTTTCGTGTATGTAATGTCTCTGTCTGCTTGTTTTTGCATTCATCTCCCTGTGCAATCCTCGACGATGTTATGATTGTCTAATTTCCGGTTTCTCTACTGCAGGAGTAGGTTTCTTGTTACTATTAGAAGGAAGGATAATTAGCAAGAATGTATAGGACGGGATTGAGTGAGTTTCCAAAGGATATCGACTAAGTTAATAAATTATCGAGCTTTCTTTGAAAAGCATGTTGGGCTCATCTTCACTACTCCACGAGACACTCCAAGATTGCCAGTATTGGCTGATGGATAGAATTTCCGACAGATTCACGAGGAGGGTCTATATTATTATTGTGAAGTAAGATTTATACATCTATTTGTAATGTAACGCAAGAAAATAGCTTATTGAACTTTTTCTGAAGTTTTTTGGCTACAAATGTGAGAACAGAGTACATTTTGTTTACAATGTCCTTCTGTAAGTGAAACAACACACACACATACGGCCAAGTAGACAATTTCGGTTGATAATCACACACATGGGAAGGAATAAAAAAATCATGGGTCCCTCTCATGTGAGAAGGTTGTACAACCAAAATTCTTTATAGTTTGGTATTGGCACATTCATTAAGGAGAAAAAGACGTTCAAATCTTATTGTATATCGTGTGTGTACATATTTGATATAGGTCAACCGACTCGAAATGATTCTGCTCCGCCTTTGAATTAAATTGAGTTACCTTGAAAGCAACATGTTTAGCTGTTAATTATTAATGACTCGGCCTGATTATATTTTATTCAAATAATTATGTTCTCAACTGAAAATATACGTTGTTGTATGTATTAATTAATATCACTATTGATTGTCAATTAGGACGACCTTTCTTGAATAAGTAAGATTACTTGTACTTGTAGTGAACGAATCAGATTGATGGACACGCATTCTACTGAATCTAAGCCGTAAAATTCGAGTTCTTGAGCTGAAGAACATGCAAATTAATATGTATTTTTTTGTTAAGGTCAATCGATGACCCACATAATAATTGCACATATTATTCATTAATTCTTTATTTAATCTCATCAACTTAGAAGAATGTAAAATTTTAAAGTTCAGTAACTACATTTACGACAGGTAGCTCACTATATTTGTTAGTCACATGAAAAAGAAGGAATTTATTTATTTATTTATGTATAATATTATTTTATTGGAGAGAGTGTGATTAAAAAAAATAGAGAGAAAAATGTAAAATAAATTCTTGGAATAATAAATTTAATATTATTAGTTTTTATCTTTTATAAGTTATCAATAGACATGTTAAGAATTTATTTTTATTTTTTTCTTATAATATTATCGATAATGAAAGTCAATTTTTCAGTAAATTTTGATAAAAATTGATGAAATATGTAGCTGAAAAGTTGTGGTCCCATAAAATATGTAGTTAAAATTAATTATTGATTTTGATTTAGATTTTAATCATTTTTTTTTTTAGCTAAATCAAATAGGGGTTTTAGATTTTATTTTGTTCCTGATGAAAATTTTGGTTAGTATTTAAATTTATGTTTTGATTAATTTATATGTTGACGAAATTTATTTGATAAATTAAATTTGTTAAATTATCTATGTTATTAATAGTAATAATTAAAAATCATTCTCAATCTTTTAAATAAAATGTTTTTCCTTTTGACCTGATAGGAGACAATTGGTATATTTTAAGTTTCTTTTGTCTTGGTCTGTATTGGTCTGGTCGGTTATGCATTTAATTTTAGAAATAATTCAAAATTACTAATAAATTTTTAGTTTGTTATATTAAAATGTAAATATTTTCATAAATTTAATTTATGCACGAAAATTTCATTTATAAATAAGTAAATAAAAACAAGAAATAAATACTAATGTTAGAAAATTTTGTCGGTAATGAAATAACAATTAGAAAAAAAGAAAAGAAAAACTTCTCAACCCTAGGTTTATAAATAATAATTACAAGATATCTCAAGTTACCAACGTAATACTTCATTGATAACTTTTTAGAAAATAAAAAAAAAAGAAAAAAGAAAAAAAAAGAAAAAAGAAAGGGTTAACCTTTGTTGGTGAAACCAACATCTTCTTTATCAGCAATTGGCAATGTCAATGATGTCATCGATGCCTCTTATGGGATGGTCGAGTTGGCGGAGTAGGTAAGCGCGGAGGCCTTTGATTACGAGTTCAATTCCTCCTACCAACACTTTCTCGGTCGAGCCTGTCGCACTGAGCTTGCCTAATGCGGTTTACCTTGTTGGCGTGGTTTGCATGCTATTGTGTCAACCCGAAAGTTTACCCAGTGCGCACCTGAAGGGTATCGGCTACAGGTTCTCCCGTTATTAAAAAAAAAATGACGTCGTAGATAATATTGCTATTGGTAATCCTTGGTGGAGGTGCTAAAAGGCAATAGGATTGTATTGGTGTCAAAAAAATTCGATTGTGACACAAACTTTTCAATTGTTGATGGATGTGCATTGGCAATAATCGATAATACCATTGTTGGTAATTCTACTTGGAATCATAGAAAAATAAAGATAAATGTAGATTTTTGTCAGATCACCAACAATAATATTGTTGCTTATAATTTTTATCCCACATAGAATCAATAGTGCCATTTTCACAATTTCCAACCTGAACTACTCAGTGCCCACCTTATCTTCAAACTTCCATCACATAAATATTTTAATTATAGTGGCCTCTTCTTAAATTACACCCGATACAAAAAGTGGTAAAGGATGAACGTGTTATTCAGAATTAGAGATGTGGAATGTAGTAATTTTTTTTACATATGAGGAAGTGTCTCCATATTTGTCACAAATCAAATGTCAAAGTAATTTCCTCCATTTTATAATCCTTCACTATGCCAATTAGGCTTAAACATGGAGGTAATAAAATTGCTTCTTACCATAAGTACTAGTGCATTTTATAATGAGTTCAACCTTTTTGGGTATTACTATTTCCATCCACACTTTTTATGTTTACATTCATTTCTAAAAATAAAATTTTATTATATTTTAAATCCTATGCAAATTTACTTAAATAGACATAAATAAAATTAAATAAAAATATGTAACTCTATATTCATTTCTTATTTTTATTTTCATTAAATTATCCTAAATCTTTTTACATTATTTTAGAATTTATTTTTAACTAGAGCCCTAATAGTTCACAGAAAATTACTTGAATATGTTCGAAGCATTCTAATACTCAAAATTTTAATAGACAAAGAATTTAGTAAAGAATGGAAGAGATTTCACTTGAGCAAATATATACAGACATAACAATATATGAAGATGAATTTGAAAAAGTAAGGATTACCTTTTTATCGTGCTTTGCTGTTTGATTTTTGTTTGAATTTGGACGTTTTAATTTTCTTTTCTTGATTTTACCTATTATCCCTAAGTCTAATTGGTAAGGGCCTTGGGTCACAACAGTACATTGTGTGAATATTTCTTTCCCCCCCCCTCCTTCTCTTTATCTAGTTTTAATTCTTTGTTGTACAAAATCCTAAGTTTTGGCACACGCATTGCTCTTTTCTAGAAGCACGATGTCCTTAAATGACTTTATGTTGGGTACCCCTATCAAGGGGCTACAATTCAATTTCTTGTAGATATGGTACAAAAATAAATGGTTGCAAAGTCGTTGTTGAACAAGAAAAACAGTAAGATAAACTTTGAAAGTACATAATTATATGGGTTTGACAATTGATTGCCTACTGAGAGATTATTTTTAGCAACTTCCTTTCAATTTATATGCTATTTTGCGTTTTTTATTTTGCTCTCAATTATAGTGGGTTTCTTCACAAGTATTTAGAAAAGTTCCAATTCATCTGCTATTTCAAATACTTACAATTGTTTTAATTGTTATCTTATTTACTTTTGAATTTATGTCATGACATTACTTGACACAATATTTTTAATTTAGGATGCATCTACACATAACTATGATGTTCTGAATGAATTATTTGTCGATTATAAGGATATATTTACGACAAACATGGTATGTAATGATTTTATTTTTTAATATGATCATATATTTATATACAAGTATTTGATATCTAGAATGCATTATTTATTGATGGCACATATATGTTTAGACAAACATGGTACGTAATGATTTTATTTTTTAGTATGATCATATATTTATATACAAATATTTGATGATAAACATATGTTTACAAGTAAAGAGGTATTAATTGATTGGGTTAAAACTATTAGTAAGAGACATAACATAATTGTTGTTATGAAAAAGTCCGACTTAGGCCAAGTTGGGAGAAAACCAAGAATTGATTTCACGTGTGAAAGATATGGGTTCATATATTTGTAGGAATACCAACAAAGAAAATGAAAAAGGGAAGAGACACAGAGCTACTGGAACAAAAAAGTGTGGATGCCTATTCACTTTGAATGGAAGAAAATTGATAAATGGTGATTATTGGATATTGAAAGGAAGACATAATCATGATATTGCCCATAACCTTGAAGGACATTCGTATGCCGAGAGACTAATTGAGAAAGAGACTTAAATTTCAGTTAACATGTCAAAAAATCACGTGAGACCAAAGGAAATTTTATACACATTGAAACAAAAATGATGACATAAATGTCAACACATTGAGGCACATCTACAATACACATAAGAAATTTAGGCTTAAAAAAAAGCTGCTAGGACACAAATGCAATAACTTATGAATAGGCTTGTTGAGAAGAAGTACATAGAATGGCATCACAAATCTACGGAGACAAATACAATTCAAGATTTGTTCCGAGCACATCCATATTTAGTAGATTTGTTGCAGGCGTTTCCTCATGTAATAATTATGAATTGTACGTATATGACAAATAGGTATTACCTTTGGTTGTTGGAGATAGTATGTGTCACTTCTACTGATTTGACATTTTTGATTGCTTTTGCAAACTTGACAAAAGAACGGGAGGAAAATTACACATGGGCTTTAGGAAGATTGAAGAGTCTAATGGATGATATAATAATGCCTAGTGTTATTGTTATCGATAGAGAGCTAGCTCTTAAGAAAGCCATTGAAAAAATATTTCCAACATTTACTAATATTTTATGTAGATGGTACATTTCAAAAAATGTCCTAAAAAAAAAAAAAAAAAAAAAAAAAAAGATCACATGGACCAATGGGATGCCATGCACATGTGGAATTTGTTAATTCTTTCAACATATATAGAAGAGTACAAGCAAAATCTAAGGGTGTGTTCTCTTTCCCGTTTTCAGCCTATTTTTTGTTTTCAATTTTTCAAAACAATGAAAACTTGTTCGCTTACCCATTTTCAAAAACAAAAAAAATAAAAAATTTGTGAAGAAAACGAAAAACGACCAAAATGTCGTTTTGGTTGTTTTCTATACAAAACTCTAAAAAATTACAAAACACAGGAAATGCCTTTTGAAACACAAAATCAAATCTTCATCCACTTTCTTCAAATCCATTCTCTGCCTTCTCTCTCTCCTGGACGCCGGTTGTGGGTGATCGACGTCGGCTATGGATGGTCGCACACTTCAACCGGCAACGAAGGAGATGTGCTAGTGTCGGCACCAACGTAGGGACGCGATGCTGTTATGAACACAGCGTTGCGACCCATTCATCGCTATAGCAGCATCGCTACCCTCGGGGAGGCGAT